AGTTAAATAAAAGTAGAGTTTTAGTTCCCAAAAAATCCGCTAATATGAGACAGTGGCGCCAAAACTCACACCATTTTTTGGCGCCACTTGTCTTATATTAGCGCGAGAATTTTGAATTTTATTTTATTTTTAAATTAATTTCTAATTACTTTTCACTAAAACATAAAGAACGTAGTTTAATGTTAATTAATTATTATGCAAATTGTTTTATTTTGAACGTCTTTGTTATTAACTAAAAAAATAATTAAAAATTTATTAAAAAAAGGTAAGGGTATAATAATAAATAAAGATTAATTTTGCGGTACGTGCATTTGTATATTTTTAATTCTTTTTTTTTTAATTAACATGTTACAAACCATTTTTTTTTGCGCAAATATTTATCGTAAAAGCGAGTAATAAAAAAGTTATATATAAAATATATATAACGTATTTTTTGTTACAATACTGTACATTATTATAAAGGTTTGCGATGACATAATCGTTTTATTAGATTTTTTTCCCTAAGCAATATTTATTGTATTTGTTTATATATTGCGTTATATACAATATAAATATTGAGGGCAATGTTTTTCCTCATTTTTTTTTATATTGAAAGATTATCAATTCGCATGATTTTTTTTATTTACAAAAAATAAGTTGACGCACCTTTTATCTTTTGACGATGTACAGCAATGAACAATTGCAAATATTTATAACAGCAATTCTAGCATTATGTGAAAATCCCTCGATATCCAACCTTGATTTTTTCTCTCTTTTTTTGCTAATAGAAAAAAAAGTAAAAAATTATTTTTACATTTTTCTTCTTTTAATATTTTATTTATTTCTTTTAAAGTTTCTAATAATTTTTTCTTTTTTTTTAATTTTGCACTGAAAAAAAGGTTGACTTGATTTAAATAAACGATTACTTTATTTAATTTGTATCAAATTAATAAAATTAGCAAAAGTCAGTAATAATTTATATTTTTATATTAAAAAAAAGTAGAATAAATTATTTAAATGTCTAAACCTACTTACAAAAAAGCCGTTTCTTATTATTATTACTTTTTATTATTTATTTTATTTATTTTGACTAGAAATAATTAATTATTTATGTGTAAGATATGTATTGTTATTAATATAATTAATTAATTCTAGGAATTGGTCACGGTCGTTAAGGCATTAAGAAATGTGAATCAGATCGAGCGTGTCGTCATGCGTTCGAATCCTCACAGAGTTGAAAATTTTTATTCGTTGATACAACAAATAATGAATTAAATCTTCACTGAATAAATAAATTTATATTATTATTATTATTATTATTATTATTATTATTATTATTATTATTATTGTATTATTATTAATTATAATAACAATTATAATATTATTTATAATATTAATATTAATTTGAATAAATTTATTTAAGTTGATTAAAGTTCATTTGCTGCAAATACTGAAATTATTCTTTCAACAACAATTTATTTTGATTTAAATAAAAATTATTTGATTCAAGTAAATATTTATTTGATACAAGTAATCGGTTATTACAATCAATTTTTTTCTACAGTGTATTTTCAAAATTTCAGTCTTAAATTTCTTTCTCAAATTCGAAAAAATACAGTCACTATAAAAATTTTTTACCAACAGTTACTAATTAAAAAATTTTTAATTTCTAATATTAACAAAAAATTTCAAAAATATCATCAAAAATCTTGGTTTGATACCAGAAAGATGAGATCACAATAGCATTTCTTTTTCGGTACTTTTGAAGTACCTCAACGTTTATAATACTATTAAAAATCATTTTTTCCCCTCTTTAGAAAATACATTAAAAAACGTTTCTCATATTTTTTTTTTCCCAAAGAAAAATTTCAACTCGAACAGAAATGTATAAAAGAAAAAAAATGAAATAGATATTCTAAAATATGTAATTTGAAAATAAGGGATGAAAATTAATGTATACTCGATGGTAAAGTGTTAAAGAAGAATCTAACCCGATATTATTATAGCTTTTAATTTAATAACTTTGAACGTAAAAAGCCATGGTAATATTATTTACGACTATACGCTCGCATAATAAAATAATATTTATGGCTATTATAATAATTGTAGCCAATTACTTAATAAGTGCAAACCCCGTTATGTTAATTTTTTTTATTTTCAAACTTTGAGAATATATTTTTTTTCTGTTTTCAAAATTTACAAAATTCGAAATAGTATTTTTTTATTTAATTATTTTAATTAATTAACGAGAAAGAACAAATAGAATAGCTATTCATCATGCTTTGCATATTCGCAGCTATATGTATAACACGCCCTTTATTTTTATCAAAAAAAAAAAAATAAAAAATTTGTTACAAAGTTAGTATTTACAAAACAGCCTCTCGCCAGGGTTCGACTTCAAAAATTTCTCATTTCACTCGTCATATCAAATTTTTCTAAAAACATTTCCTATACACTTACATAAATATTACAAGAAGAAAATTTTTTTTTGGAGTTAAATTAATATTATTTACTAATAAAAAAAAATAATAATAATTACCAATAATAATATTAATATTAACATTAATAATAATAATAATGTTAATAATAATAAATAATATAAATTAATATATTAATATTAAAGTAATTATTATAATTATTAATTAATTTTGTAATAAGAGTGGCTTAGTCACGTGGTTAGCGTCCCCGACTCGCAATACGACATCAAGAGTTCGAGTCCCACCAACCGCACTCAATTTTTCTACTAAAAAAAAATATTATAATAATTAATAAAATATTACATTTCATTAATTTATAATTAATTAATATCATAATTAATAAAATATGACAATTAATTAATTTATAATCAATTAATATTATAATTAATTTCGATTTATGTTTCAACTCCAAAAAAGAAATTTATATTTTAAATGAAATGAATAAAAATTATATATTTTAACAATGAAAAAACTAAAAAGGACTAAAGAAAAAAAGACTAATAAATAATGAGAAAAATTTGTGAAAGGGCAGATATGATGATAAACTAGTTGGTTGACTATAAGGACATTTTTAGTGTTTAAAAAATATTCACTTATATAATTTTAATTCTCTTGTGACCCCTTAATTTTTACGCGAAAGGCCGCAGTGTATGTCACAAGATGCAAAATATAATATATATTTATATATAAAATATAATAATTATTATCTTGCGCACTTCTCTAAAAATATACTTCTTTTTCTCGCCCTAAGCGATTGCACGTTAACAGTTCTTTCGACGACTAGAAATCTTATTTACTAGAGAAAAAAAAAATCGAATCTATAGAAATATGAGAATATTAAACGGGAAAAAATAAACAATATCGGATTCTGGGCTTATTTAGACTCTTCTCCAAAATTAGTTTTTTCCATTTGTGAATTTTTCTTTTGATTTGTTTAATATTAATATTATTAATAAAACAATTTTTACTTTTTTTTACTTTATCTATTTAAAAATTTTTAATTATAGTATATATTATAATTAGGAGTGGCTTAGTCACGTGGTTAGCGTCCTCGACTCGTAATACTATGTTAAGAGTTCGAGTCCTACCAATCTGATTTTTTTTATTTTATTTATTTTTTATTACATTTACGTATGTAATTTTTTGAATTGTTGCTTACATTATTTAGTTCCTTTTTTGTTTATTTATTTATTAATAAATTTTTCTACTAAATTCTAATTAATTGAAAAAATACTTTTCATTTTTTTGTATTAATATTTCAGGGATCGCAGTAATTTTTTCAACGAAATATTTGTCAAAAAAAGAGAATTTGAAGTTTAAAAGTAATTAAATTCTAGAAAGAACTTAATTAGAATTTTTGATAATATCCGAATTATTTTGAAAAATTTTATTAAAATTCAATTGTAAAGAGTTGAATTTTTGCGAATTTATTCCTATTAAAGAAATTCTTAGGAGAAATTTTATTAAAATTTAATTGAAAATATTTAAAATTCTGCGAAGAATTTTTTGTGACAAAAATTGGATTCTCATGAATTTATTAAAATTAACAAAAAAAGAATTTTTTGATAAATTTTATTAAAATTCTACTGGAAATAATTGAATTTTAAAAACGAATTTTATTATTTGTAAAAATAATTGAATTTTAACTAATTTATTAAAATTTAAAAAAAATGTTTGAAGAACTTTCAGTAAAATTGAATTGATATAATTGAAATCCTATTGAAAATAATTGAATTACAACAAAGAATTTTATTATTTACGAAAATAACTGAATTCGCCTTTCCGCTGAAGATTTCTCTTCGAATTTGGGTTCGTAGTACTGTCTGCTAGCCAACTTTTTTGAGAAATGCCAACTTCCTGCGTCCAACGTTCACATCGAGCTGCAGTTTTTTTTCCAAATTTGGGTACGTAGGACTGGCTGGTCGCCATCTTGTTTTATAAATACTGCCCTTCGACGTCCACCGTTCACATCGAGCTGCAGATTTTTTTCCAAATTTGATTTCCACTTTCATGGTGAACAGAAATTCACATAGAATTCATATCCTGACAGCGTGTGGAGCAATTTATCAATATCCGGTTCCCTTTTCCTATTACGTTATTTTCTACATTTTTATTATGGAACAAATTTTGATTTTTACCTGGAGGTGGGATTTTTGCAGTTTTTTTGGCAACGTTTAGAAAAGATTTCCACTTTCATGGTGAATGATGAATGATGAAGATCTTAAGAAAGTTAAAAAATATGCGGACTACCAACTTGAGAGGGATCGATCAGCAGATATTATATCATTGCTTTCAAAACGCGGACAAGGTTGCATCGTAGCAAAGATTTTTAAAAATTTCGATGCCCCCTTACTCAACAACGTACAATATGTAAATACCGAATGGTACAAAGTCATATCCACTGAAAGATTGTGGAAAAAATTGATAGAAAAAGAAGGCTGAAAATAATTCTTTGTGGCGAACAGTTATTAAAAAATGGAGTTCAACAAACATTTAGGAAAAGAAATTGATTTTCGAAGTGACGAAAATAATTTTTACCAAAATATGTTTAATTCTATTTCATCAATTGCAAAAGAAATTGATGATAATTGGAGAAACAAAGAAATTTGTGTCACTCAATATGAAACAGAAGTGAAAAAGGCCAAAGTAATTTATGCAATCGCACGTTCAATAATAATTAAATATTTTCCGGACACAATGATGGTAAAAATTAGAGTGTGGAATATCGAAAGTAAAGCAATTACGAAAATCCTGTAGGGCGGCCACAGTGCTGCAATATTGGGATTGAAATTTTATAATCAAAATTATCTCATTTCCTCTTCGTGTGATAAGCAAATTATTGTACGGAATACAGAAGATGGTGAAATAATACAAATCCTAAGGCATCACACTGATAATGTAATGGACATAGCTTTAAAAGATAATACATTAATAACGGCCAGTAAGGATTGTTCACTTGCAGTATGGACAATTATTTCTCCAAAAATATTCGATAGGCAAATTTCTTTGAGACATGAAAATTCAGTAAATGTTGTCGATTTAAATGAAAAATATATTGCGTCAGGCAGCACTGACACAACAATAAAATTGTGGAATAGGTCCACATTTAGGATTCATTCCACTCTAACAGGACATATTCGAGGTATTACCTGCTTAAAATATGAAAATAATATAATTGTTAGCGGCAGCGCTGATCAAACTATTCGAATATGGAAAGTAGACACGCTTTGTTGCCTCAAAGAGTTAAAAGACCATTATGAAATGGTCAGAAGTATAACTTTCAACGAAAAGTACATAATAAGCGGATCAAAAAATGAAAAAATAAAAATTTGGGATATGGTAGCTTGTCTCGATCCTACGTCTAATCCAAGAGAATTGTGTTTTCGAACGTTGAACGCAAGTAATGGATTAATATTAAAAATCAAAATGGATGATCACAAAATATTATCGTCTGCTAATGATGGAAAGATTAAAATTTGGGATTTTTGGAAAACTGATGACGAATATCATAATTAATTGATTAATTAAAAACATTATTTAATAAATAATAATGTTGTGTTTACCGTTAAAATCGTTTTACTTGAACGTTCAAAAAGTTTTAGTTTACCGTTAAAATTGTTTTACTTTACATTTATAAAATTTTGTTAGTTCAAAAGAATTAATGTTCTTAATATTTCATTGAGATTAAAAATTTTGTATAAAATTACATTGCACATTTTTAATGCTGAAAAATAACTGAATTCCTGTAAAGAATTTTATTATTTACGACTTAAATTTTCAGGAAGAATTTTGCTAAAAAATTTTTTAAATAATTGAAATGCTAAAAAACAATTGTATTATTTATAAAAACAATTGAATTCCAGCAAAGAATTCAATTATATGAAAATAATTGAATTCTCATAAATTTGCTAAAATTCACGAAAAAATGAATTTTTTGAGAAATTTTATTAAAATTCTATTAAAAATAATTGAATTCCTGCAAAGACTTTTAATATTTATGAAAATAATTGAACTCTTTGAAAAAATTTTACTAAAATTGAATTGGAAAATTGAACTGAATTTAATTTAATTCCAGCAAAGAATTTTTTTATGAGAAATTTTTTTTGCATGAATTTATTAAAAATAGGAAAAAACCGAATTTTTGGTAAATTTTATTAAAAATAATTGATTTTCTGTAAAGATTTTTATTACTTATCAAAATAATTGAATTCTTACCAAGAATTTCATTTTTTATGAAAATAATTGAATTCCAGCGAAAAATTTTATTGAAATTATGTTAAGAATAATTAAAATTCCACCAAGAATTGTATATTAAAAATAATTGAAATTTCTAAGAAGTTTTTTATTATTTATAAAAATATCAAGAATTGAATATACAGACAATTAAATTGAACTTTTTCAAAGAATTTTATTATTTATAAAAATTAATGGATTTTTGCAAGGAATTTCACTTTTTATGAAAATAATTAAATTCCAGCGAAAAATTTTATTGAAATTATGTTAAAAATAATTAGAATTCTACTAAGAATTGTATTAAAAATAATTGAAATTTCTACAAAAAAATGAATCAAAAAGGAAAAAAAAAAATTGAATTCTTTTTTGATGAATTTTGTAATAATTTCGTTAAATAATTCGTTTTTGTTTAATTTCTCGAATTCTTTCGAGAAATTTTTTGCATAAAAAATAATTTAATTTCTGATAAGTATTTTATAAAAATTAATTATTTTTTGCAAAAAATTTTATTATTTTAGAAAATAATTTAAATTTTCCTAAGAATTTTCATCATTGTTTACAAATTTTGTACTTGAAATTATTTAATTTCTTAGTGTCGTTAAGAAATTTTTTTAATTTAATTAGAAAAACATATTTTCTAAAAATTATCAAAAATTTAAAAAAAGAAAGATTTTGTTTATTTAATGTAAAAAATTAAATTGAATTTAAAATTTCTATCAATAAAGAAAAGTTTATTGGTTGCTTCAAAAAAAAAAAAAATAACAATTGGTAGAATTTAGAAAAATAAAAAATTGAAATTTAATTTTCTAATTTGGAGTTGAGTTTAGAAAAGCAAAAACATATTCACTGTGATCCCCGATATTTCTGCTAATAAATAAAAGTTTATTGGCTTTTTCAAGAAAAAAAGAAAAAAAATTGAAATTTGAAAAATAAAAAATGGAAAATTCAGTTTCTAATTTTGGAGTAGAGTTTAGAATAAGCAAAAGCATATTTCTCGCAGAAAGACTTCTCCGGGATAACTACTAAAGCTCTTTTGGAGTGGCTGAGGAGAAGTTATCTTGCTTTGGATCCGAAATTAGCGCAGCGGGAGTTATTTTTAAGTCAATGCACTTTCGCCATACGGGATTATTCCCTTGGGCAATTTTTTTTCTTTTCGATTACATTACAGAAAAGAGCAAGACTAGTTCCTGCTTTCCAAAAAGGAAAAAAGGAACTGTCATGATTAACACTTCCTTACTAACGAATTACGTATTTTTCCATCTCTTTGATTCTCGACACACGTACAATTATATATTTATTTTTATTTTTTTTTAATAGAAAAAAGAAAATTTCCCTTTCAATCAAAAATGACAAAAATTAAAAAAAAAAGATAATAAACCATAAAAATTAGAATAATTAGGCAATTAATAATTAATAAAATTAACAAAATTAATTAAATTCTAAAAATTTGAAAATCATATTTAATATTTTTGAAAACTGTCGATTTTTACTGTTTGGAAAAAAGAAACAAAAAATGTAATTTCTATTACAAATTTTGTTACTTTTCTCCTTTGAATTAAATTTGCTGCGCTATTATCAGGAAATATGCTTCTCTAAAATTTTGATTTACAAAAAAATATTTTAAATTCTAATTTAAAATTTCGAATTTAATTTAATTTTATTTCTATATTTAATTTTATTTTCTATTTTCAATAGAAAATAAATTTTTCGTAATGAAACGAAATTTCGCGTAATTTACTCAGTAGCGAAAATGAACAATAATTTTTTTTTTTATTATCAAAGTAATATTTAGCGACGCTAAAATCACAGGGTAAAATTCTTTCAACAGAATGAGGAAGAAACACGGAAACAAAAAGTATAGAAATATTTGGACTCTCTGCGGTTGTTATTCGGGGAAAACTGTTTCGTATTTAGCATTATAAATGAGATCTGCAGTGAGAGGTGGCCCTCTTCTATTTTTCCCTCTCCTCTGCTTTTTGTGATAATAATACTTTCTTTTTTTTTAATAATTCGCATTAAAAAAAAAAAAAAATTGAATCTCGAGAAAAAAATGGCCAAACCCGAAAAACCGAGAATCAAATATTATTTTTATTTAAAAAATCGTCTCTTTGAAAAACAAGCAAAAAAAACCTTAAAATAAAAACATAAAAAAGAAAGAAATATCAATCCACAAAAAAGGAATAATTTACTTATAAATAATTTCAACTAATTCTTAAGTACTGTTAAAATCTCATCACTGATATTTTCATTGGTATTCAGAAAAATTTACAGAAAAGAAAATTTAAGTTCTATAAAGTAGAATTTTGATTAAAACATTAATTTTTTTTCCATTTTTTAATTGAAACAGAATTTTTATCTAAAGTTCTATTTAGTCAAAAATTCAATTAAATGAAAATTTTAACCATTATTATTTAATATTATTATTTTTTTTTTATTTATTTTATGTTTTAAATATTTTATGCTATTTTATTAAATTACTATTATTAATAACAAATAATATTTTATTAATAAAAAAAATACATCATTTATCACGACCAAATAGAAATTTATTGAAATAAAACTTCTCGACAGGAAAATTTGATTTAATATAAATTCTATTTTATAGAAATCGACGAATCAAAAATTTACTCATTTTTTCAAAATTTTGCATAATAAATTTACAGGCCTCTGACTCAAGCGACAAAATTATAAATGTAATTCTTTTTTATTTTTTAAATAATTCAATACCTTAACAAATTTTTTATAAGTAAAAATAATTGAATTCTTGGGACAAATTAAAATTATTAAAAATTGAAATCTTGGTATGAATCTTACTACTTATGAAAATAATTTAATTCTTATAAACAAATTTTCTCAAAAATTTTTAAAAATATTAATTGATTCCTTTTGACGAATTTTAACGAAAAATATTTTTTTAAATAATTACATTTTTCGAGAATTTAATTTCAAATTCTATTTAAAATAATTAAAATCCTGCAAATATTTGTATTATTTGTGAAAATAATTAAATTCTTACAACGAATTTTATTAAAAAAATTTTTAACAATTGGATTTTTTAGAAAAATTTCATTACTTTTAAAAATAATTGAATTCTTGCAAATAATATTGTATTAAAAATTTTTAGAAAAGAATTGAATATCTACGAAGAATTAAAATTGTATTGAAAATAATTAAATTCTTTTAAACAATTTTTTTCAAAATATTTGAAAATAATTAAATTTTTCGAAGAACTTTATTAAAATTTTTGAAAAAAAATTAATTCTTTCAAGGAATTTAATTAAAATTGTATTGAATTCTTATGAATAAATTTTATCAGAATTTTTGAAAATAATTTAATTCTTATAATTAAATTTTATCCAAATTTTTGAAAATTATCAATTTCTTTCGAAGATGTTTATTTAATATATTTTAAATAATTGTATTATTTGGTTCTTAAAAAATTGTATTTAAAATAATTGCATTCCTATGAAAAAAATTGAAAAGAATATAAAAATTTTAAAAATTCAGTTCAACAATTGAATATTTGCTAAGAATCTTATAAAAATTTTTTTAAAATAATTGAATTTTTGCAAATAATTCTATTATGAAAACAATTATGAAACAATTATGAAAATAATTGAATTCTCATAAATTTATTAAAATTAACAAAAAAAAAGGAATTTTTTGGTAAATTTTATTAAAATTCTATTGAAAATAATTAAATTCCAGCAAAAAATTTTATTATTAACAAATTAAATTTTTGGGAAGAATTTAAAAAAAAATTCTTAAATAATTGAATTTTTACAAGTTTATTAAAATTAAACAAAAAAGAATTCGTAGGAAAAATGTTATTAAAATTAAATTGTAAATAATTGAATTACAACAAAGAATTTTATTATTTGTAAAAGTAATTGAATTCTTGTAAATAAACGTCTTAGAATTTTGGGAAATAATTGAACAAAGTAGTAAATACTATAACGAAGCCTGAAATTTAGTCCGAGGCCTGAAATTTTACAACCAAAAAAAGAAATCTGTGAATTTTTCACAAAAATAAAAAAGACGATATTTTAAATTTCGTACCATTAAAAATAATTTACGTTTATGTTTCAACAATTAAAGAAAACTTAAATTTAAATTTTAATATCATCAAGTAAAATAAGAAAGAAATTCTTTACGATATTCGCCATTTCTTTACAAATATAAAGAACCTTTTTTTTGCCATATTCGACATTTCTTCTTTACGATATAAAGAAATTTTTCTACGACATTCAGGAAGACAATTTTATATAAACAAAAATTTGTTGGTTTTAAAAATTGAAAACTCCTAACAAGATATTTTGATATTTTTTTTTCTTACAGGGAAAATTTTTTTTTCAAATTCCCCGAAGAGTTTCGCTTCTCTTTTTTTCCCGCAAGCTTCCTGAGGATTTTCAAGATGAAGTTTGGCACTTACCTTTTGGTTTTTTTTTGTTTTTCTTTGTGAATTTTCACAGAAAAAAAAAAATTCTAGTTTTAAATATATAACATAAATTTATCTTATATATCACTTCACTTTCGATCCTTGCTAAGGTCCGAAGGTAAATCTGAATTCGAAGTACACGTGAGAGAATGTGGCGGAGACATGGCTTTCGATGTCACTGGCAATGAGAGTCCGGCGGCAGTCATTGCTACGTTTAGAGGAATCGTGATGAATGGATGATTGGCTTGTGCAGAATTTACAGATGATGTCCCTGCAAGAAAATTACTTTAATAAATTAAACGATTCGTGAAGAGAGGAATTTTCATTTGACACTAATTTGCCGTTTCATTTCAGTATATTAATTGCAAAAAACAAAATATATATTATTCATTTTCTCTTATAAATGTCAGGATGATGAGATTCATTAAAATTCATTTACATTACAGTCTTAATTATTTTTTTACGCGCAAAATTCATTCCTTCGATTTTCGATTTCTTTCTCAAATATTTATATATATTTAATTAATAATTTAATATAACAAAAATTATTTTAGATATATTTGTTTATTCAAATCTAAAACTTAATTTTCCAAATTTTTTCATGCTTTGTGTTCATTTTTTCGAATTTCATATCTAAATTTCCAATTTTTTCGGTTTTGTTTTTCGGTTTTTCACATACTTTTATTCTCTGAATATTAATTTTTCTAAATTTCATGTCTAAAAATTTATTTTCCTCAATTTTCAGTTATCAAGATGTTTTTATTCTCTGAAAATGTTAATTTTTCTAAATTTTATGTCTAAAACTTTATTTTCCTCAATTTTCGGTTATCAAAGATGTTTTTATTCTCTGAAAATATTAATTTTTCTAAATTTCATGTCTAAAAATTTATTTTCCTCAATTTTCGGTTATCATAATTTTTTTATTTTCTAAAAATTATTAATTATTCTAAATTTGTTTCTTTTTTAATTTCGAAAATCATTAATTTTTCTGAATTTTGTTTTCACTATATTTCTGACTTCCAGATTTTTTTTCTCTTTGTAATTATTAATTTTTCTAAATTTCATATAAAAAATTTCATTTTTCTCAATTATTCTCATTTTAAATTTTGTCAATAATAATCATTGATTTTTTAGAATTTCATATCTGAACTTTCAATTTCTTTAGAGTTTTTTTTATTCTTTGCATTAATTAATTTTTCTAAATTTCATAATTAAAATGTAAATTTTTTTTAAAAAAATTTTTCTTTTTTTGCAATATTAAATTTTGTTGAATTTTAAATCTAAATTTCTTATTTTCTCAATTTTGTTCTTCAAATTTTATTCCTAATCTCTGCAATCTCTAAAATATTTCAAAATTTCATGACAAAAAATTTTGTTTTCCACAATTTTTGGTCCTCAAAACTTTGTTTATTCTCTGAAATTCTTAATTTCTCAAAATTTCGTATTAAAAAGTGTTATTTTTCTCAATTTTCTGATTTTAAAAATTTTTATCCTCTGAAATCATTTTTTCTAAATTTCGTATACAAAATTTTAATTTTTTTTAATTTTCTTTTTTCCAAATGTTTTTATTCATTGTAATCAATCATTTTTAAAAGTTTCACATAAAAATGTTCAATTTCCTTAATATTTTCGTTCACAAATTTTCATTATTCTTTGCAATTTATAATTTTTCTAAATTTCATATTTAAAATTTAAATTTTGTAAAACTTAAAAATTATTTTCACCTGAATTTATTTATGAAAGTGAAATTTTTTCATTCTTTGCAAATTAAACATTTTTTTAATTTCATATATAAATCAATTTCCTTAAATTTGTTTTTCAAAATTTTTTTCTATCAATTACCGTTAACAAAAAAATTTTTTTTAATCTCTGGATTTCTCAATTTTTCTTATTTTCAGAAATTTCCAAATTTTTTAAATCTAAAATTTCAAAATTTTTCAATTTTATCCTTCCCAAAGTATTTTACTTTTTGTAATTATAAATTCTTTTTTGAATTTCATGTATTTTCCAATTTTCTCAATTTTATTTTTCAAAATCCTTTTCCTATTCTCTGCAATCTCTAAATTTTCTAAATTTCACATCTACTTTTATTTTCTTCAATTTTTAATTTTAAAAACTTGTTTTCTTCTCTTGAATCTTTAATTTTTCTAAATTTTATTTATTTTTTTTTTGTTTTTCAATTTTTCTAATTTAATTCAATTCAAAACTCAAATTTGATTTTAAAATTTATTTTATTCTCTACAATCTCTAAATTTTTTAAACTCAAGGTCTGAAATTATAAAAACTTGTATTATTTTGGTAAAATTAATTTTTTGCAGCCGTGAATTATTATAATTTATTAAATATAATAATTAATATGTAATTTAAAGTATTATTTTTCTATTTATTTAAATTGTATTTGTATTTAATTCGTATTTAATAATTTAATTTTTGTATTTAAAATGTACCTTTAAAGTGTCAAATCTAAAATATTGAAACATCTGATTTTATATTTTATAGAAAATAAATATTCCCCCCATAGATTAAATTATTATAATTATTACTCTCGAATTCTCGTTGCAATTTTTTTTTAATAAGCGAAACTGAGAAAAAGAATGAAAATTGTGAAAATTGAAATTTCCAAGTTTTATGAGAATAGAAAATTTTCAAATAAGATTTTCCGAAAATGTTCCTTCTGCGAATTTGACTTTTGCGAAAATTATTGAGAATTTTGAAATTGTTATTTCTTCTATTATAGGCTGAGTGAGACGTTCTTTAGTGAAAGACTGAAACCAAAAATAGCGTGATAATATTAGAATTAGTGGTAGTGGGTTGAAAAATGATGAGGTGGTGTATTTTCTTACATCAGAGAACAAATATACTTGGTATTTAACTCTTATGTATATTTTATATCAAATCTTAATAATTTTGCAATTTTTCCCATCTTTTTTCATTTCTGGCTTTAAATTCATCTTTTTTAAAAAAAATAAGTAAATAAATAAAAACAAAAAAAAAATACTGTGACTGCGAAATTTTGCAAGAAAAATCTTTCAAATTTTTTTCCTATTTTCTAAAGGTATTTCCTTAAAATTTATGTTTTTATTCTTTTTTATTTCCAAAGAATTTTTTTTATTTTTCTACAATATTTTTTCAAAATATTTCCATTTATTATTTTTCTTCAGTGAATTTCCAAAATAATTTTACATTTTTTGTTTTAATTTCTACTTCTTTTGTTTTCTAGATTTATTTTTTATTTCAGTAATGGCTAAGACACGAACTTGATTTACATTTACTTTTTTTTATTTTAATTTCTATTTTTTTATTCTCATTTCTATTTTTTCTGTCCTATAATTTCTATTTTGTTGCTTTAATTTCTATTTATTTTGTTTTAATTTATATTTTTTTGTTCTAATTTTTATTTTTTGTTCTAATTTTTATTTTTTGTTCTAATTTTTATTTTTTGTCCTAATTTATATTTTATTGCTTTAATTTCTATTTATTTTGTTTTAATTTTTATTTTTTTGTCCTAATTTTTATTTTGTTGCTTTTATTTCTATCCTTTTGTTCAAATTTTTATTTTTTGCCCTAACTTCTATTTTAATTCTTTAATTTCTATTTTTTTGTTTGAATTTACATTTTTTTGGTCCTAATTTCTATTTTGTTGCTGTAATTTCCATTTCTTTAGTTCTAATTTCCATTTTATTACCGAAAACAAAATTTTGATACGAAAAGAAAAAAAAAATTGTTTATACTCACCCCCGTCTTGTGAGATTTGAACGGGTTGACCGTTTTGTCCGATGCTGAGCAAAACTCCAGGACTCGGCGAATAAACGACGTTCTGTGGCATTTGATACATTATACCAGCGGAAAATGACGGCATACCACCTGAAATTTTAAACAATTGTTAATATTTATTCTCTCAAGAAACAACAAATTTTTTAAAAAATATAATAATTTCAATATAATTTCTCTATCAATATTTTTTTCTACACACATTTTTCCAAAATTTCGATTTTCTGAATTTTAAATTTTATAAAAATAATCACTTATAATTTATTACCTGACAATTATTTCATTTTCAATATATTGAAATTGAAAATGAATTTCAAATTTATAATAAATTAAATGTTTTTCGATTCAACTGAATTTTGCATTTTCTCAAAACTAATTTTATTTTCATACATATTTATTTTATTATTCTATCAATTAGGAAAGGATACATTTTCAATGACCTTCGGAAGAAAAATATTTATTTTCAGCTAAGGCATTAATTTGATTGGAAGTTAATACTCAAGTCAAAAATATTCTCAATTATTATTAAAATTGTGTTAAAAATTGTTGAGAATAAGAAATTTTTATAAATAATTGAGAAGATTTCTTAATAATTGTTTTAAAAATTAATTTGATTCCTGCGAAGAATTTTATTATTTATGGAAATAATTCAATTTTTTTGAAAAAATTTATCAGAATTTTTGAAAATAATTCACTGCTTTGAAAGAATTTTATTAAAAATTTTTAAAATAATTGAATTCAATCGAAAAAAACGTATAAAAATAATTATTTTTTCTTAAGAATTTTATAAAAACTGTTGAAAATAATTATTAAATTTTTTTTTAATAATTGAAATCCTGTAAAGAATTGTATTACTTATGAAAATAATTGAATTCCTCCAAATTTTTGCGAAAAATTTTATTATTTGTAATGATAAATGAATTCTTGGCAAAAATTTGATTAAAATTTTTTAAAGTAATAGAATTTTTATGCAAAATTGTACTTAAATTCTTGAAAATAATTAAATTCTGTCAAGAAATTCAATTAAAAATGTATTAAAAATAATAAATTTTTTCGAACAGTTTCATTAAAATTTTTAAAAATAATTGAATCTTGTCCAGAAGGTTTATTAAAATTATATTGAAAACAATTGAATTTCTGTCAAGAATTTTGTTATTTAAAAAAATAATTGAATTTTTGAGAAAATTTTTTTTAAAAATTGAATTTCTGCTAAAGCGTTTGTTATTTTTGTGAAGGTAATTAAAATTTTGACAGGAATTTTACTTAAATTTTTTAAAATAATTGAATTTCAACGAAGAATTTTTTTTATTTATGAAGATAATTAAATTCCAGTCAAGAATATTATTAAAAAAAATTTTAAATAAACAAATTCATGGCAAGAATTTTGTTATTTATGAAAATAATCGAAATTTTGCAAAGAATTTTACAATTTATAAAAATAATTAAATTCCTCCAAAGAATTTTTTTATTTTTTTTAAATAATTGAAATTTTCGGAAGAATTTTACATTTTAAGTATAAAAATAATTCAATTCCTCCAAAAAATTTTATCAGAATTTTTGGAAATAATTAAAATTTTTTGGAAGAATTTTATTAAAAATTTTGAAAATAATTCATTTCCACCAAAGAATTTTATCAGAATTTTTGGAAATAATTAAAATTTTTTTGGAAGAATTTACTAAAAATTTTGAAAATAATTAAATTTAATTGAATAATTCTGTCAAAACGTTTAAAAATAATTAATTTTTAAAGAATTTTATCAAAATTGTTAAAAATAATCGAATTTAATTAAAACTTTTAAAAATAATTTTATATTTCTAGAAATGTTATTAAAATTGTATTTAAAATTAAAATTTTATTAAACTTGAAAATTAAAATATATAAAATAGGAATTTAAATATAGATATAAAAATACAATTCGATTTCATGAATTTCGAAATACTGTCTAAATTCCAATTAGTGAATATTCGAATCAATTTGAAATTATTTTTCCCACTGTCAAGGGTAGAAAATTTCAAGAGCAATAGAATGAGAAATATTGAGAGAGAGACAAAGAAAGGGAGGGAAAATAATTTGAATAATAATAAAAGACTCAAGAAATAACAAGAATCGTTAAAAACGATAATAGTCGCCCCTGAAACTGAGAAATTCAAGAGCAAAACGATGTCTATATAGTAAAATGTAAAGAAGAAGAAGAAGAAAGAAGAATAATTCCCACAGCATTCACAAAACTAGTAATAAATAATAACACTCTCTTTAAGAAATTACTCGTCAATGATTATACCTTATCAATACCTATGATTATTTAATAAGGAAACTTTTTGAATCCCCGCAAACTCTAATTCCTCACGTACATTAGTCAAGAAGAAATTTTTTTCGAAAAAAAAGAAAAAAAAATATCCCCACAGTAAATTTGTCTATACTTAGTGTGCATTTTATTTCTTACAAATTAAAAAGATTGCAACGCGCGAGAGGCGTAATTAATTTTTATGAGCCATAAAAAAAACCTTGCAGAAATTGCAGCGACTTCTATACGCGCGGTCATCGATTCATCGTTGGGGAGATTAACTGCTGTAATTTTGCCAAGTAATGACAACCAAACGATATTCGAAACAGCCGATATTTTCTTTTTTTGCTTTTACTTTATTTTTTTTTTTTACAATTCTGGTTCAAGTCGCGGCGACTCTCTGCATTTTTATAAAATATTTTCACGCACAAATATTTGAGTGCGTGAAAATATTTTTTAACGGAGTTGGGACGCAATTTTTTTTTAACAAAGTCAGGAATAAAAACACGTGTGTAGAACAGGGTCACGGTAAACTTGTTAAATAGTTAAACCTACGTTCGATCAACAGGCTTCGCCCTCATCTACTAAAACCTACTGTTTAATAATACTTTTTGTTCGATTTGCTATTATTTGGATAATTTTTTATATTTTTGCCACTAAAAGAGATTTTTTTCTTTTTATTCTCAATTTGGATTATATTAAATTCGCTAGTAGTTGAAATAAAAAATTATTCTCAAAAAATTTTATAAAATTCTTAAAAACAATTCAAAATATTTTAATAAAATTCTTTGAAACAATTCAATTATTTTCATAAATTTTTCTGCAAGAATTGAATTATTCTTACAAAAAATAAAATTCTTTTTACTATTTTAATAAAATTTCTCAACAATAGTCAATTTTTTTCAAACAAATTTTTATAAAATTCTTTGCAAAAATTCAATTATTTTCATAAATAATACAATTTTTTACATGAATTCAATTATTTAAAATACAATTTTCAAGAAAAATTTTTTGAAATAAATTAATTATTAAACGAAAATTAATTCTCAAAAAATTATTTTTTTTCATTTGAATAAATTCATGGCAATTAAATTATTTTCATAAAATATTTTTTGCTAGTATTCAATTATTTTCAATTCAATTTTAAATTAAAAAAAAAATTAAAAAAAATTTTATTAAAATTTTTAATTAAATTTTTCGAACGAATTCAATTATTTTCAATAGAATTTTAATAAAATTTAACAAAAAATTTGTTATTTTTTGTAATTTTAATAAATTTATGAGAATTCAATTATTTTCATAAAAAAATTCTTTTCTGGAATTCAATTATTTTCAATTCAATTTTAATAAAATTTTTCGAAAGAATTCAATTATTTTCAATAGAATTTTAATAAAATTTAACAAAAAATTTGTTTTTTCTTGTAATTTTAATAAATTTATGAGAATTCAATTATTTTCATAATAAAATTCTTTGCTGGAATTCAATTATTTTCAAAAATAATAAAATTTTTCAAAGAATTCAATTATGTAAAAAAAAGTTTAATACAATTCGTTGCAAGAATTTAATTTTTTTCACAAATATAAATGAAATGTCATTGTTCTTAACAATTTCGTTGAATTTCTTTAAGAAAAATCAAATAATTTTATGAATTTCGATAATAATTTGTTTCTAAGAATTAAATTATTTTCATAAATAATAAAATTCATCCGAAGAATTCAATTAATTTTATTTCAATTTTAAATTAAATTATTCGAAATAAATTGAATTATTATTCTTTTGAATTTTAATAAAATGAATGGAAAAATTCAATTAGGTATGTTACAAATTTTTAATAAAATTCTCTGCAAAATTCAATTATTTTCCTAAATATGAACATTCATCGCAAAAATTCAATTATTTTCAAAAATTTTGATAAAATTCTTGGGAAAATTTTAGTAATTTTCAAAAATTTTCCTCAATTCAATGATTTTCAATATCTACTATTTTCATAAAATTTACCACAAGAATTTAATTATTTACATTAAAAAAATTAAATTTTTGAAAAGTTACAAATGATTGCGGAAATTAAATTATTTTCAAACGTAATAAAATTCTTATCCCAAAATTCAATTATGCTCAAAAATAATAATAAAATTCTTCTCCGACATTCAATTATTTAAAAAAATTTTAATAAAATTCGTTGCAAAAATTTAATTATTTTTAAATTTCCCACAAATTATTTTTTTTTTAAATTTTAATAAATTCATGAGAACTAAATTATTTTCATAAAATATTTTTTGCTGAAATTCAATTATTTTAAATTCAATTTTAATCAAATTTTACGAAAGAATTCAATTATTTTTAAAAATTTCAAAACAATTTGTTTAGAAGATTTCAATCACTTTCGAAAATTCAGATAAAATTTGATTATAATATTTCAACACAATTTTAATTAAATTCCTTTATTGAAAGAATTTAATTTTTTCGAAAATTTTAATAAATTTCTTCGAAACAATTCAATTTTTTTAAAACAATTTTGAAAAAATGTATGTATTTAAAAGAATTCAATTATTTTTAATACAATTACAATTCTTCGAAGAAATTCAATTATTTTCAATACAATTTTAAATCTGCGAAGAAATTTAAATATTTTCAAAAATTGTAATAAAAATCATCGAAGGAAATGAATTAATTCGTAAATTTTGATAAAATATGTTTACAAGAATTCAATTATATTTCACGTAATTTTAATAAAATTTCTCGAAAAAATTCAATTATTTTCAAAAATGTTTTTAATTCTCTAAAAAAATTTAATTATTATCAACAAT